TTCCCTACAGCAAAAAGTTCACCAGTTTTCTGGATGGAGTTCTTTTAAATTCTAATACTGTCAGACACCACAGTTATCTTCAGTGTTATGCAATTACGTCACCCAGTAGTAATCAATACTTTTAGCTATCAGACTAAGTGTGTCTGCTGGTATCATTTCATTATTGTTATTATTATCTCATTTGCATCATTACTAGTGTTAGTATTATTATTGGTATTGTGTTAGCTAGTTAGTCAAAAGATAACTACAGTACATATTAATCCAAGCTAATACATAATTACTGTTTGACTAAATACATTATATACAGCCTTACTGCAATAACTACATTTTAATTGTTTTGCTAAAGTTTTCTGGGTTACCTTGAACTAAGACATAATAAATATGTCTTCCTACAAAGTTTATGGCTGCCTGACATTAAAGACACTAAATAACATGTCACGTGGGTGCGTTAGAGAATCATGACTAGTTTTTGATGCTCAGACTTTCACTGTTTATTCTCAATATGAACTTTCTGAATCACTGTTTGTGTTTAATGATGATTTCTTATCCTGACTTTGTTTTGATATAGGTTTATGCCCATTTGAGTCTTAAGATTGAAGTCTGGGATGAAGATGTGTTCAGAGACGACCGTCTGGGGTCATGTGTGAGGAACCTGAGACAGGGGTCACACACTTTTATCTGTTCAGTCCAAAGAGGGGGAATAGAGATCAGATACTCACTCACCTGTGACCGCCATCTGACTGGAAACCAGTGCCAGGACTACAGACCAGTTCCATAGAAACTCAGTCTGAATGAAAGAAACAATGAAACATTATATTAGCATTTCCACTGTATAAGCATTAGCTTTCCCGATTTTTGATCAATATCTTTTCTAATAAATGACATGATAGGTGTTGGTGAAAGTTAAAAAGGTCTGATCTATGTCACTGTGATTTTAGATGATTTAGTAACTGTCTACTTCATCACTTTGCTTTGCTAAAAACAGCTAATAAATACACAGAAATGATTTTAAGCATCATTCACGTTGTCCCTGAGCATCAATACTTATCTCTAGCACAGACTGTAGAGGATGTTAAGCAGGAGATGGCGCTATTGTACAAAGGTGTGTTAAAAACAAACAGAGTCATCATATGTAACATCAATGTTACATATTCAACAATAACTGACTTTATTATAGAAAACTAAATTAGATCACACACTCTAATTTATATGATGCTCATTATTATTAATTACGATGCGGCATTCTGATGCAGCAGGGACTTCATAAATTGACCCACAGGGAAAGGAAAGTGAACTATCCATCACCAAAGTGAATAGTGGGCAGCTTTAAGCTGTGGGGACGGTGCCATGCTCAGTGCACCTCAGCGGTAACTAGGCAGCTGATGGACTCAAACCTAAAACCTTTCGGACCCATGTTCACGTCTTTAACCACCATTGCCACTATGGGGGCACTAGAGGGCACATTCATCGAGCAAGGACTCTCTAAAGACCCAAAGTCACCAAAGTGCTCGTCATCCTCAGCCAACTGGCTGTGGTCGGCAGAACATTCTATGTTCTCCTAATGCCCGTGCAAAGCATTAAAACTTGAAACAATACTGCTTTTAATCTTTTTGTTTGCTATGCTAATGTACATGTTGTGCAAATTAGTGCAGACGTCCTCTTTGATGAGAACAGGAAGCAGTTGGGGAAAGCGAGGCAGCGCTTTGAA